AATATAAATCTTCTGTTTATTTCGTAAGAATGCTTGACAAAAGGGCTGGAGTTTATCACACGATTCTCACAGTTATCACACAGTGCAACGATTTTAAAACCAAGTCCACGGGTAGAAGCAGTTTCAAATTTTATGTTTCCCGTACAAGACTTACATTGCACATATTCACTTATCGCAGCAAATACTGTAATGAAGTTTAGAATTCTATATTCAATCGAAGGATCACGTGAAACTAAAATCTCTTTCTGCATTTTAAATTTTTTCGCAGACGCACTAAAACTACTTTCATCCGTTTCAGTAGTCTTTGGATTAAAAGTCTGTGTTCTCTTTTTTCTTCTAGATAATTGGACATTTTCGGTACTTCTGCGAGATCTCGAACATTTACGAGGCATTTTTTTAATGTTTAAATAAAATTCACTAGTAAGTTTAAACTGAACGCACGACTTTACCACTTAGCAGTACAATTTAGACTGACGAAACACTTTTTTTAGGTTATAATATAACTGCACGTGACCTTCAAGTCTTTAGTATATCTGACTATTATACTCGTATTCTACAAGAAAACAATAGAATAAAGGGTCTCAGGTAGCGCGCCTCATGCATGCAGCTGCTCGTCCAGTTCTTACTGACTCTACTTTCTAACGCTCTGACGTGGCCTTACAAATTCAGGTAAATCTCCGAAAATATTTATCGGATTGACTTCAAATTTTCAGAGAATATACTCAAATATATGGACATTCCGAAAATGCAAAAAAAAAACGATTTTTTGAAAATTCTAACTGCGTATAACCCCTTAAATAATTGCTGGAGTTATCGATCACGAGTTGGTGGTCGGTAATTCCGCAACAAATAAATTGAAATCACAACGATAATTAATGAACTTCATTGTGAATTGTACGTATGAACATTCTATTTATAGACAATTAATTAATAAAGCTGAAAAATCAAATAGAAAAAATTTACTTTGGACGGGACTCGATCGCGGAACCTTAGGACTCGAAGTCTAGAACGTTAACCATAAGGCTGCACTCAGATTTAAATAACTTCCATTATTCTTAACTTTTAAGACTCAAAGATATCCCGAGGCAAGAATTTGAAGCTTGAATTGAAGCTGTTGAGGCTGATTTCAAACTTAGGTTAAACTGTTCAAGCTGAATTGAACTTAAAATGAAACTGACTAAGCTGAATTGAAACTAAAGTCAAACTGTTCAGCCTGATATAAGTATTAAGGTTCAAACTGATTTGAAACTAATGGAACCAAAGTATTATTTAGGCTTTCCAGTTTCAAACCAGCATCAACTTTTAGAGCTTTCTTGACACTGAACGACCTTCTTAGAATAAAATATGAACCTGAATTGATGCTGACCAAATTATTTGTTCGAGTCAGTCTGACAAGGTTGAAACCAAGCTCATTTCTTTTATCTTATCAAATTGAATGTTCTGTTTTTAAACTGGAGAACCTGATTTTCTAAGTCAGATATCTTTGAGTCTTAAAAGTTAAGAATAATGGAAGTTATTTAAATCTGAGTGCAGCCTTGTGGTTAACGTTCCAGACTTCCTAAGGTTCCGCGATCGAGTCCCGTCCAGAGTAAATTTCTTCTATTTGATTTTTCAGCTTTATTAATTAATTGTCTATAAATGGAATGTTCATACGTACAATTCACAATGAAGTTCATTAATTATCGTTGTGATTTCAATTTATTAAAAAAAAAAATTAATAATAAAAAAAATATAAGCAGGTATATAATATTTTTAGAAAATTTATTATATTTAATTTATTATAAAAGGCGCCATTCAATTTTCTCAATTCATTAATTAAAACTACGACATCAATAGAATACATCTCATTGATATCACAACCGCGAACACAATCAACTACACCAAATTTTTATTAACGAAAATCGTTCTCCGACTGCTTAAATTATCAACCTGTTTTGAAACTGAATGACTTTTTTTTCAAAATCAAAATGAACCTCAAGTTCAACCTGATGCTCTTGAATCGTCGAATATTCGGAACTAGAAGGTTCAAATCATTTCTATCTTTAAATACAGTTTTTTATATTAATTTTAAAACTGCAAAAATAATAATCGATAATTTTGGCAGTTTCATTCCAATCTTCAAATTTTTACCTCGGGATCTGACTTAGAATATCAGGTTCTCCAGTTCAAAAACAGAACATTCAATTTGATAAGATAAAAGAAATGAGCTTGATTTCAAACTTGTCAGACTGACTCAAACAAATAATTTGGTCAGCATCAATTCAGGTTCATATTTTATTGTACAGAAGGTCGTTCAGTGTCAAGAAATCTCAAAAAGCTGATGATGCTTTGAAACTGGAAAGCCTAAATAATACTTTGGTTCCATTAGTTTCAAATCAGTTTGAACCTTAATACTTATATCAGGCTGAACAGTTTGAAGTTTCAATTCAGCTTAGTCAGTTTCATTTCAAGTTCAATTCAGCTTGAACAGTTTAACCTAAGTTTGAAATCAGCCTTGACAGCTTCAATTCAAGCTTCAAATTTTTGCCTCGGGTTAACTACGGGACATTTGAAAATTTCATAGTCACAATTTTAAATTTAAACCGAGTACACGTGACTAAATGTGAAACTATTATATAAATTTTTATTGTTTAGCAACAGAGGGATTGCCGTTGGCGCTGTAAGTACATATACACGTTAATTTTTTTCGCTCTGTCTTTGGTACTTTTTCTGCTGTAAATTGCCCTCGGGCATTTTCTGTTTTAGGATCATTGTGTGCAAAAAATCACAATCTACAAGCTGAAATATTAATTGTCAAAATTGCGTCTTGTGGATTGCTGAAAAAGCCATATTGAAAACTATCAAAATTGAAGCGGTTAGGTTTCAAGTGTTATGTGTCATTGTGAACGATAGCCTAAATAGCATCATTTGATGTTTAAACTCATCTGATGTTTACCAAATAGCATCGTTTTTGGCTATTACCTATCGGTAATCCTAACGTCTTATAAACTGACGTAAGCATCAATTTGTTTACCATTGTTAGAGCAGTAGGTGCATATAGTGTGTGGTGTTTGGTATACCATTGATGTTATTGAACTTGTCTATTAAATAAAGCGCATAAATCTAATGCGTTCATTCAGCATAACTTCATATATGCCGTTGTGACCATTTACCGTGACTTTTTTATAAAGTCATGTGAGCTATAAGAATATATTTTTAACCTATTCTCTATTGTGCTTTCTGATAACAACGAAGCGGAAGTAATTGATGTTGCTAATAGAGATACTACCAACCCACTACACGTCTCAACCTGCCAGTCAGAGGTCACCACTGACGTCTCGAACAACAACAATTGCGAAAAGGTTAGCAACCTAAATCCTGACGCTCAGGCTTTCATTCACCAACCATCGGACTTTGCTTTTTTATTGCAACCGGAACGCACACAGATACCCAGGAGTAAACACATAGGACCTACTCCAAAAGCGGCACTGCTCAAAAAACAACGATCTTGCTCCCTAGGGAATATTGCAGATTTTCTCATAATATCTAGCAGGAAAAGATCGAGGGACGGTCCTCTCTCGCCTTCTCTGACTAAGGACAATATCTCACCACCAAATAAGGTCTCTTGGGCCTCCTCGTCACCACTGTCTGCTAAACTACATAAAGTAATGGACCTCCTGAAAACCCCGAGTCTAAACATGTCTACCGTTGGTGATACATCTAATAATACACAATCTACGATGGCTGCCCAACTGATGTCGTTAGATGCTCTCTTCAAGCAATTGCAAACATGGCGCACCGAAGACCAGACCAACTTGGCCATACTGAAACAAGATCTGATAAAGCAAATATCGGATTCCAGCGATGCATGTGATTCTAATATTTCAAAACTCAGAGCTGATCTATCTGCAGAAAATGAAACTATTAAGAATGAGCTGGCTGCTGTGAAAGCTCGAATTTCAAAGCTTGAATCTGACGCCACGATCCCTGCTGCTGATGGTACAACGGTTCGTTCCTTGGAGGAACGGATTATATCCGCCAGTATAAACTCGGTCGAAAAACGCCTTCGTAAAAATAACATCATAATTTCCGGTTTGCCATGTGAGGAAGCTAACTCTACACGTATCGTAGAAGAATTCCTGGCTACACACTTTGAAATTAGGAACAGTTTAGAGCATGTCACAATCTTAAACAGCGCAACAGGAAAACTCAAGGTAGCCATGAAAGATCAATCCCTCAAAAATATTATCATGAAAAACAAAAAAGTTTTAAAAGCTCCTTATTACATAAATCATGATCTGACACCCAAGGAAAGCAATATAGCAAAAATATTAAGAAATGAAGGCGAGAAACTAAGAGCTAAAGGTCATAAGATTAAGCATGGATTCCAAAAACTTTATATGGATGGTACTCCGATGTCTTGGGATGCCTCACTTGGAGCTCTGGTTCCCTGTCGTTCCTCACACACGAATACCCTCCCCACTGTACAGATCTCAACTACAAACACAGCAACCAGTTCAAAACTGGTAACAAATCCTAGCCTTCCGTCACATCAATAACATAAGGCCCAGCCTCAATGTCACTTCACTCATACTACTGCCAAGATCTGTTTCTGGAACGCTCGTGGTCGTCTTAATATCCCAGATCTCACAGCCAACTCCGATGCTCTCTTTATAGGAATCACAGAAACATGGGCAGCAAAAGAACACTTCAGTAATCCACCTCTCAACTCTAACAAAAATTGCTCCTACGTACCTGCAATCAAGCCGCAAAAACAAGGAAGATCAAGTGGTGGTCTTGCTATTTTCACCGATCTAAAGACGACAAATATCGCTAAATCAGAACATTGGATTATCTCCAGAGTGCTAATTCATAATATGGTGACTATCATTGCTGTTGTCTAGTTCAAACCTGATGTCAACTTGATAGATACCTTAGAAAACCTGCAATTAATCATCACAGACATCGCTCGAGGCTTCTCATACGACTTATTCCTACTCGGAGGTGACTTTAATGCTAGAATGGGGAACTTCGGGCATTTACCAGAGGAAGCACTAGAGTACACCAATTTCACTGGAAAACGCGCATCTCTGGACCAAGTCTGCAACCACCAAGGGAAAATCCTCGCACTATTTATGGCGGAAAATGGTTTTATTCTTCTGAATGGCAGATCGCCTGGTGATTCTATGGGGGATTTCACCTTCAGCAGTCCTCTTGGTAATAGCACTGTTGATTTTATTTGGGTTGATGTGTCTGGTCTGCATCTTGTCGGTGATATGTGGGTCGATAACCGAATTACTGGCTCTGATCATTTTCCGATCACAATCAGTCTCTTGTTAAACGCCCCTTTGCCGGTCAACAATGTCTGGAGTGAAGATAGACAGTCTAATATTACTAAATGGAGACCAGAGTGTGCCGATCGATACCGTTACTGCATGGAATGGTCTCCGCTGGTAAAAATTGATCTGAATGAAGCTACAGTTGAAGACTTCAATACTCAACTTAAAAAGGGGATTGATTCCGCAGCAAATGATGCTCAAATGTCCCTGAAAGAGCAAAGCTGTACTTTTAACCACTCATTTAAATCTTGGTTTGATAAGAGTTGCAGAGCTCTCAATCATACTCTAAAAATACTGCTGAAGAAGTGCAAAGCCGCTGGAAATGATGTATACCTTTGGTCTGAATATAACCGTAAGAAGAAGGAGTATTACACCTACCTAAAGGGAAAGAAGGTGCATCACATCACTACTATTCAGGATAAATTCGCTTGCGCAAAAAACTCGAAGGATTTTTGGGAGGTGGTAGAAACTGTAAGAAAGCCCCCCTACCGAGCTTCAAAAGTCAGCCTTCAGAAATGGGAAAATTTTTTCCAGGAAGTGTATCCCCCGCGGGAACTATATCTCGTGGTTAGTGATGTACATGAGCATCCAATACTAGACGCGGAGATTACTCTGGAGGAGCTTCAACTTAGTCTGAAAAAATCTAAATGTAAAAAAGCAGCAGGAGCGGACAATATTGGAAATGAATTTTTAAAGAATTTACCGGATAACTGGCTTTACTTTGTCCTCGCTTTTTACAACAAAATCCTAACCACCGAAGTTATTCCCACTGACTGGACAAACATCATTACATCAATGCTATTCAAAAAAGGTGATCCTGAGAACCCCGGAAATTACCGCAGCATTGCATTGGTCAATTGCATCACCAAGCTCTTCACTCAAATCTTGTGCAATAGAATTAGAGTTTGGGCAGAGGACAACAAGCTAATTCCTGAAGAACAAGCAGGCTTTCAACCTGGCAAAGGCTGTGCAGACAACGCTTTTTCTATGCTAGCGCTGCTCCAAATGCAGCTAAGATTCGGCAGCAATACCGCTTTCATTCTGTTTATCGATTTCCAAAGGGCATTTGATTCAGTTCCACATAGCAAGCTATGGAACAAACTGTCCAAGTTAGGTCTTAGCAGCAAGATTATTAATATCTTAAAAACGCTTTATGACAACGCACAGACGAGAGTTAAGGTTGACGGTCAACTCTCGAACCCAATAGAAGTCACGATAGGTGTATTGCAAGGCGAGATACTAAGTCCGCTCCTGTTCGTCCTTTACTTATCGGACATTGTTTCTTTCTTTGAAGAAGAGGCTTAGAAGGAATTACCTGCAGTCCCTCGCGGAGTATTCTGTTTTTACTTTAAGCTGATGACATTGCTATGCTCTTCCGCTCTGCTAATCATCTATTAAGAGGATTAAAAATCTTAGAAAACTACTGCAATCTAAACAGTATGCAGGTAAATATATCGAAAATCAAGGTCCTGAGAGTCAGTTCCACGGGAAAAAGTCGTAGAAAATGTCCCACATTTCTATTTAACGAGGAAACAATTGAAATGGTCAACTCATACACTTACTTAGGTGTGGTCTTCACGGCCGGTGTAATAGGTATCCCCACGGTGAAATACGCAGTCAACAAAAGTAAAATTGCGACCGGCACTGCGCTTACAGTTCTCGCAAAACTGAAGGCTGACTCTTGGTGTGGAAAGATTAAAATATACAACGGCTTAGTTAATAGCACACTCCTTTATTTGGCTCAGATATGGTGTCTTAGGCCAGATTTCATCGAAACAGTCGAAGCAGCGCATTTGGACTTCTTCAAGAGACTTTTAAATCTCCCAAAATGCACGCCAGGTTACGCTTTACGCTCTGAAATGAACATTCCACACATTGCCACCGACATCCTACAACTTGCCATCAACTGGGGCATTAAGATTCTAAAGCTAGAAAATCACAGGCTACCGGAGTTATGTCTATTTCGCTTGGCTGAGTTGAGAAACTCCTCCACTAACCAACACAAGTGTAACTGGGCTCATCAACTATCCAACTTACTCAGGACGGTCAACGAAGAACAACTGCTAGATAACCCGGATGCGGATTACCGGAGTGCTAGGAAGAATATTATTCTTAGAAAGTTTCGATGCCACCTAGCCTTGGCTGATAGGGAGAGGTACTCTCGATCCAGCAGCTGCCAAACAATTTTTTCGATTCCTCTCTTCGAGGTTATCCCTGAATTAACATTGAGGGTTCCTCACCACCTCAGTAAGCCAATCATTCAATTACGACTGGCATCCAAGTATGCGTGCTATCTGTCGATCAATTCTGAATCCATTAACTTATCGCCGCTAAAGGACTGCAAGTTTTGCAGCACTGGTAGCAAAGAGACTATCCTACACGTCCTCATTCAGTGTCCACTGTACTCTGATCTCAGAAAATAGTTCTGGAAGGAAGAGCTCGCCCAAGGGTCGGACTACGATAAGCTGGGAGTAATCTTAGGAGTCACTTTAAAACCTGATCTGAGAAAGCTGTTTGATTTTCTCGATAACTGCCTCACAATTCGGAAATCTTACTTTTAACACGTAATGAGAGGCATTATGAATCAGTCAAATAAATATAAATAAAAAAGTTTAGTGAGTCTGTAATAAACAAACATTGAGGCTGGACGGCGACCTTTTATTCATAATCTTAATTGATACTATTTTATGGATTTATTATAATGTTTTCTAATTTTTTAACTTTATTGAATTTAATGTGTTATTTGATCTGAACGAGTTATTAGTTATTTTATTACTTTTAATTGTATTATATATGTACTACTTCACCGCTTCTCTTTCTTGTATATAGGATAACATCCTTTAAATGCAATAAATATTATTATTATTATTATTATTATTATTATTATTATTATTATTATTATTATTATTAT